ATCTATGTTATATTACAAATAAAATATTGACATTTGCCATCTCCACATCATTGCATTCAGTTTTTATTCACAATTTGTTTAGTGTCCCAACTTTTTTGGAATCCGGTTTGTAGTTTTGTTGCCCACATTCAATTAAATTCAAAATTACTTGATTCATCTCAAAGGTAAATTCAGTGTTGTAGCTCATCATCCTGGTTTCATGAAAGAGTTGTTCTAGATGCTGATGGATGTGAGCAGGAATGAGCTCTTAGCAGTCCGTCTTACAGTGGATCTGAAGAAGCTGCTGTTTACTTGGACTTGGGTTTCTCTGTCCTCCTGGGCAGCAGGACCATCTGAATGTTGGGCAGAACTCCTCCCAGCAGCTTATTGAGCTCCTCGTTGCAGACAGACAGCTGCAGGTGCCGAGGGATGATCCTGGTCTTCTTGTTGTCACGAGCCGTTCTAACAGTTCAATATCTGGACTCCATTGTTTTTGCCACTTCTCTCTAAATCTCCATCTGCTCAAATGGTCATAAAGCCTGGCAGGAAGACGCTGGAGTCAGGGATTTGAACCTGCAGCCATGTCTCAGTGAAACACTGCATCCCCCATACTGTGGATGGGTCCTTGTTAGGGCTTGTAGTTCATCCAACTTGTTCCCCAGCTGTAGTTGAGATCTTTGAGCTTTGAGACGGTAATCAGCTGCTCCCGGTTGTAATAAAAAACAACACCTTGCTGTCATGGTTACACATCATAATAAACGTCCAAAACTAAAAAGGTTTCAGTAAAAATCCTTCCGGCTGCACAGCATCTGATACCAGAGGAAACGATCGTCTAAAGTGATTTTCTTCCAGAAAAGAAGAGTAATCGAGAGCTGCTCCACCATGCAGCACCTTGAGCAGCGCAGGTCTGGAGCATCAAGCCCAGCAGCTGCCTCCAGTCTATCATTTAATTTACCTGAGTACACTTGGAAATAAAGATATGCAGATTTAGACAAGTTCTTATTCTTCCAGTTTCTTAGCCAGTTAGTTTTTGAGATTTTGATCATCCGTTTTGACGAGTGCACGTGTCAGACGCAGGCCTTGAACTCCTGAAGCAGGTTTGCAGTTCCTGTCATGATGCGTAACTTTTGAAAGAAAGAGTCTCCCTCCATTCTTTGAACCTGCTCTAAATTCAGGTGAAAAGACTGCAAGCTTTTCAACTCCCATGAGAATGTTGAGATCCCACTCAGACATCTCAAGATGATGCAGAGGACAGGAGGTAGATGGAGGTAGATGGAGGAGGACTCTCTGTGGAGACCCTGAAGAGGGAACAGCCCAAAGAAAAGGAGCAAGAAAAATTCAGGAGGTTCCCTCTTGAATGCCGTTTGCTGACCAGTGGCCTGCAGTCGCAGCCCCGGGAGAGACTACCGGTAGTTTAAGGGAAG